AGCAATAGCATATCTAACTGATTCGATACATTCTTGATGGTGTAGTCACGGGAATATAATCAGGTGGTTTCCTCGTGCCTACCTGATCGCAGTATTACGACCGGTTAAATAATTATGTGATATCCGCCCGTGAGTATATGTCATTAAGCCAACAGTAGAAATCATTCCGCTATAGCCTTAATGAAGTAATGTCATATATGTAGGACATTTCCCTATCAGCTAGTGGGACGCATCGTGTCGGGGTTGAGGACTCCCCGCCCGTCAGTCTGCTGCGAAGTACAGAAGAGTCCCTACTTAATTCAGAACTCCTCCTTCACGCAAGCTGGGATGGACACGGCACAGACCGTTCCATTCGTCTCTGTGTCACTCTTAACTTCGAAGCCGTACTCTTAGTTTCCGCCCCATAGGTCATGACCGGTAATACGCATTGTTTAAATACTTTTCTTCTCAGGCTAATTGGTACGTTGGTCCTAAGTGTGTCTCGCAGTTTATCAAAGGCTGCCAATACTAAAGTAATTCGTGTTTGGATTTCGCATATATGGTTATCCCTGCTGATTCTTATTTTAAGATCCAAATACGTACATTTCTCCATCAGTTCTATCACTTTGTCTTGCATAGCTAAATGGTTATTGGGGACCATATTTGTCATAAACTTAGTTTTGGTCAAGTTCATTCTGAGATCTACCTTCGAACATGCAAAGTCCAATTTATTTAACATTTATGTGGCTTCTCCTTAATTATATGTGATAATGACATCTGCAATACGGAGATGGTTAAGCTTTTCGCCGTCTTTTGTTATTCCTCGATGGTTCTAATTACCCATCTTAAAGGCATACTCTAATGCCGTTATAAATATTTTCGGTGACAATGTATCTCCTTGTCTTATCCCACGTGTTATTTTTATTGGTCGGGTTTTATCGTGTAACTTAACAGTCATAGTGGCATTTTTGTGAATATTGTAAATAAGTTATAGTCAATCTATATATATAGTCACTGACTATACCTATAGTCAATCCTGTTGCCATTCATTGCTTCTATAAGGCTGTCTATTTCGATCGTGTCGAACGCTTTATGAAAATCTATGAAAGTAAGGATCATTGGTACCATAATTTGGACGGAATCCTGCCTGCTCTCTAGGTTGGTAGAAATCTAATCTTTTCTCAAATCTTGATGTCACTAACCTAGTGAAGAGCTTGTATATGTGGTTCTACAGGCTAATAGGTCTATAATTTTTAAAGTCCGTTCTATCTGTTTTTTATGCAAAAGGATGGTTATAGCATTGTTCCATTGTTTATGCACCTCTCTTTGCTGCGAACATAGGTTAAACAAACAGTTTGCTTAATTTATTTAATAGCATATCTTCTCCATTTACAATAGCTTCTATTACAATTCCTGGGTCTTTGTTATTTTTCATTTTTCTTAATGCTTGTTGAATCTCATCTACCTTTATCTCTGGCATAAGTTCGAAACTTGATTTTTTATGCTGTTATTTTCCTCTATAGTGCGTTTAATATTATCGGTTTTAAATTTCCTTAAATCTTTCCTAATTGCCTTCGAAACAGTTTTATTCATATCTCTTAGAGTGTGGCGGTCTGCAGTCTTATCGCTTCTCATTTGTCTTTAATCCGGCAACGTTTCAGTGTATGAACTTTAGGAGTTTATGATGCAATTACTCAAGTCGTTAAGATCGTACTAGGAGGTTTTATGCAGTAGTAGCTTATTATTTTATTGCTACAGGCCGGGAAAAGAAATGCAAAATCGACGACAAAAAAGGACAATTATATCTCAGAAGAAGTAGAAAACCTGATGAAGACAAGAAGAAGCGTACTTGAACAGGGCAAAAGAAACACAGTAGAATATACTGAAATCAATAAAACAATTAGAAAAAACATAAAAGAAACCAAGATAAAAACGCAGAAAGCAAAAACTAAAAGAGTAATCCAGCAGAACAAAAATATGAAATGCTTAAAACAACGACTCGGTAAAACTCATATAAATGAAATGACAAACAGCGAAGGAACAACCATTAATGATATAAAACAAATAATAAAATTGATAGAAGAATACTATACGCACCTATACAGAAAAAGACATAAACCACATCAAGAAATTCTTAAGCAATTAAACACAAAAATAAAGAATATAAACTCTGACCTACAACCAGAAATAAGTAAAACAGAAATCAAGAAAGCAATTCAAGAATTAAAAAACCATAAGTCACCTGGAAAAGATGGAATAACTGCAGAGATGCTGAAGAGAGGAGGGAAAACAACTAGAGAAGTCCTACATATCCTCATGAACAAAATATTGACCACAAAAGAAATACCCGATAGCTGGAACGATGCGGAAAAAGGTGACCGAAAGAACTTAGAAAACTACAGACCTATAACATTACTAAGTGTTGTATTTAAACTACTAACGAAGATCATTACAAATAGACTAACAACTAAGCTTGACGAATACCAAGCAAGAGAACAAGCGGGATTCAGAAAGGGTTTTAGTACTAGCGACCATCTGCTAACAGTAAAAATACTGATTGAAAAGTCGAACGAGTATCAAATCTCATTATACATAGCATTCATAGACTTCTGAAAGGCGTTTGACAGCATAGAAGCTTGGGCCATCAAAAACTCACTACAGACCGGCAGAATTGATTACAGGTACACGGACCTAATAACAAACATATACAAAAATGCGAATACCACAATAAAATTGACGAACGAACACGCTACAGAGCCAATAAAATTCGAAAGAGGAATCAGGCAGGGAGACACAATATCACCAAAATTGTTCAATCAGGCTATGGAAGACATATTTAAAAAATTAGAATGGGATACATACGGAATAAGAATAAATGGAGAGCTCTTGAACCACTTGAGATATGCAGACGATATAGTCCTGATAACAGATAAGAAGGAAGAGTTACAGAAGATGGTTAAGGAACTAGATAGAAAAGCGACAGAGGTAGGTCTAGAGAGACTATGACAAACCAAGAAGACTAATTAGAAATAGTAGTCAAACATAATAAATTAGAGCAGGTGGCAGAATACATATACCTATACTACGTTTCACGTTTAGAAAATAACATTGCGAAGATAGGGCCATGTATTTCTTATGGACGATAGCAACGCGGCGTTGCCACGACACACACAAGCACAATTTAGGGTTGTATAATTTGTATTTTCGTTTCCACAAACATGAATTAAATTAATGTTTTTTAACGTAATTGACCAAAAGTGCCCATTCGAAACAAGGGATGAAAAGTAAGGAAAATGATTTTAATTAGATAAATAGTATTTACAAAAGATAATTTTATTTTATCTTATTTTAATTATAGTAACGACAGTTTATTTGTTTTTCGGTGAAAATACGATATGCCATGAATCATATAAATCAGTAGATAATATTGACCGCTTGGAATGCGTATATCTAATTACTAATTGCAACTTAAAATAATACGATGTGCGTATGTCAGCTATTTTATGTCGTCTCTGACTACATAATGATAATAAGGCTTTTATTTAGTAGTTATTCTGACTTTACAGTTAAATATTAATTGAAAATGAAAATTCAAAAATTAAGCAAAGGGAATATCTTGGACATCCGTGCAAAAGAGAGTGTCTGAGAGTTTTGGCAACACTGATCTCCATAAGCGTAATGTTATTTTCTTAACGTGAAACAAAGAATAGGACAGATAATAAAGCTGAACAGGGACAATCAAACAGAAGAAATAAAAAGAAGAACTAGACTAGCATGGGCCTCATTTGGTAAACTATTATATATTTTAAAAAATAAAAAGTTCCCTCAATATATGCGAACGAAAGTATTCAATCAGTGCATTTTACCAGTTATCGCATATGACTCACAAACATGGACTTTCACAAAGGAGAACATCGACAGAATATCCAAAACACAAAGAGCAATGGAAAGACAGATGCTGGGTATCGGTCTTAAAGACAGGAAAAGAAACTCATGGATTAGAGAAAAAACAAAGGTGAACGATGTATCAAGACAGGTTGCAAAACTTAAATGGAACTTCGCCGGTCACACTCTATGGCAAAAAGATGAAAGATGGAATAAGCGAATTCTACACTGGAGACCATGGGAAAAAAAAAAGAAAAAGAGGAAGACCACAGATGAAATGGACTGACGACCTTAAGAGAACGGCAGGAAAGGACTGGATGCAGATCGCCCAAAATAGACACCAATGGAGATTAACAGGGGAGGCCTATGCCCAAGAGTGGGCGTTTAAGGCTGATTATGGGCATGATATATGCCTGATATTGGTTGATATCTAATGGGGTGTCCAGATACAATGAGATTTATTTTTAATTATTATGTTCCTTTCTCTTTTTATGTTGATTTGGACTTTCGCTCGTATCATTCTGTGGTCAGCGCTTGTGGTAAACTTGTAGAGTACTGTAACATTTTTAATTATTTGTTTTTGTCACTTACGATATAGTAGATTTCGTTCCTTGTTCTACCATTTGGACTTTCCCAAGATGTAGTTACTGCAATAAAAATTAGACGCCCACCTATAGTGGATACGACGTCTGGCTAGAGAAAATAAAAACTACCCAACAAGACGTAGGAAAACCCAAGGAAACTAGACGACGAGGTAGACTAAGATTGAGGTGGGCAGATGGTCTGCATGAGGGTGGAAAATCGATGTGGCGAACTGATACAAAGTTAATAGGCTTACAAAGATTCAGGCTCAACTGGGAATACAGCTACAATGATGATACTGATGATTTTGTGACATATTTATATAAATATTGCCATGAACTATTGGCTAGTTACAATATTATTGGTTTGCAAAAAAACACGTAATTACAGATTTTTACAAAGCGTACGCTATGTGTAAAGCTTTACTCAGATGGTATATTATGTATTCCTAAACAAATTATAATAATAAGTACCGGTTGACAGACTACGTTATCAAACAGTTCAGTTTGCATATGAGTAGTAGTATAAAATAACTTCCAAAAGTAGTTATCCTCGCAGTACTCGTGAAGTCGAAAATATGATGGTCCCAAAACATTTTAGTTCGCTTCGCTACCTGATTTATATTTGTATAACATTCAAGTAAGTTTTTAATAAATCCTTATTAGCCTGTTTTTGTGGCTCAACTAGTAAAATAGCAAAAATATTTTTGGGTGTTTCAAACATGTTACTTAGCTTAGTAATAAATAAACTTTAGTTATAAATAAATATTACTTATTATATTTATTGGAAATTAATAAAACTTTTAGTTGAAAATAGGTTTATTTTGACGTTTCGATTTCCACTTCGATTTTTTTTGTATTTGAGAATGATTTCCGAAAACGAAACCGAAACGTTAAAATAATTACGTTATCGACAAAAACAAAAAGTATTTTCGAAATATTCAAACAGCTTTGAACATTTTTATTTAAGTATCCTTTTTAAAGAAGAAGACAAGGAGCAAAACTAATAATTAATGATATTTTCAATTTTATCTTCTTCTTCCAACGCACTCCATTACTGGAGGTTGCGACCACTACATCAAAATGTTCTCTATTCTACGCTACTCTTAGTAATCGTTGAACGTTCATGTCCATCCAAGTTCTGATATTGCGAAGCCATAACATGGTCCTTCTGATTACTCCTCTTCGGCACTCTTCTCTTCCACTATTATTCTTAGCAGGTTATATTTGTCATTTCTCATTATGTGGTTTTAGATAAGAGGTCTTTCTTTACTTTACTATTTATAGTGTTTAATACTGTTGTATTCGTAATGTTTTGTGTCCATGATATTTTGAGCATTCTGCGATAAAGACCCATTTCGAAGGCTTCTAGCCTTCTTCTTTTTCTCTCTTCTTCACTGGCTTTACAACTCGGGGTGAGTCTTTGCCGCATTCACTATCGCCCTCCATCCTCTACGATCTTGCACTTCTCTTTACCATTGTTGTACCCCAATTCTAGATAAATCGGCTTCAACATCATCCTTCCATCTTTTTCTCGGTCGGCCTACTGATCTTCTATTATCTGGCCTTTCAAAAAACACTGTCTTTAACACTCTGTTATCCTCTGATCGTGCCACGTGACCTGCCCATCGGTTTGCCTTGATATGTCTATGTTTTCAGTTCCATACAGAGTCACCAATCCAGCATGCGGCATCTTCTCCAATCCCCTGTGAATTCGTCTCTTTGAGGGCCAAATGTTATTCTGAGAACCTTTCTTTTAAAGACTAGAAGCTTATTGATTTCCCGCTGGTTAAGTGTCCATGTTTCACTGCCATATGTAATAATTGGGCAAATAATCGACTTGTACAGTGTTAATTTAAATTTTCTTTTTATCAGATCTTGATAATGTTGAAAGGGAGTATAATGCTCTATTTCCCGCAGCTATCCTTGCTAAGACCTCTTTTTCTATGTGGTTGTCAGCTGTGGTTATCGCCCCCAGGTATTTAAACTCCTTTACTACTTCGAAGTTGTGATCATTAATACTGATGTTCTGCCTAACTCTTGGTCTTGGATTTTTATTTACTACCATGTATTTCGTCTTTTCTTCATTTATTCGGAGACCCAGACTACCTGTTTCCTCCTCGATTAGTGAAAACACTTCTCTCACGTTTCTCATAGAATGCGTGACTGTATCTATATCATCAGCAAAGGCCAGCAACAGTTTTGATCCTTGATCAACAAATCCTCCTGTCAGTTCAGACGATATTTTACTTATTGCTTATTGCTTATTGCATATTCTAAAGCAAAATTGAACAGCAACGGTGACAAGGGGTCTCCCTGCCTAAGTTCTGAATTTATACCAAATGACATCGATGTTCTGCTTCTTATCTTTACTTGCGCATATGAGTTTGTCACGCACATTTGCGTTAATTCAACTAATTTTCTTGGTATTCCCATTTCTAACATTGGTATCCACAATTTGCTTCTTTTTATGGAATCTAGGCTTCTAACCGTCTTGTGGTATTTAATTTTAATGTCCAGGCTTCAAGTTCATACAGAAGGACTAACCAAACAGAGCATTTAATAATTCTTATTCGGATGTCTAAGCTTAGTTTTCGGTTATAGATAATTTCCTTCTCTTTATTATACATGTTTCCAGCCTGTTCTATTCGTGCTTTTATTTCTTTATCTGGATCCGACTTATAATTTAGTCCTACTTCTAGGTATCTGAATTAGTAAACTTGCTCTAATTGGGTGTTATTTAGGTCAATGCGACAATTTTCATCGGTTTCGCTATGGTATCGTCTGCATAACCAATATTGTTAATATATTTACCGTTTATTTTTATACCAATTTCGGCGCCGTCTAGTGGTTGTTTGAATATGCATTCAGAGTGAAAGTTAAAGAGCAATGGAGACATGACACATCCTTGTCGAATACCTCTTTATATACAGACGCTTTTAGTAGTGTGGTTGAAATATTTTAAGGATGCTTCTTAATTCCAATAAAGGTTTTGAATTATGCAGAGATTTTTTCCGTCTAGCTTCATCTTCTGTATTTCATACAATAATTTTTCATGCTGAATTCTATCAAAAGCGTTTTGGTAGTCGATGAAACACAAATATATTTTTGCTAGTGATCGAGGCAATTTTACACTTAAATTCAAATATCTTTATGCATGCTTCTTTTTCTATGATAGTTTTAATTGTTATTTCCATTTACGTCATAGTATCTACCATACACTGCTGACGTAATAGATTTTAAGCCTACAAGTGAGTAAGAAAATTGTTTCTTATTTAATTTAACAAAAAAATACATAACTTTTTCCAATAAAAAATAATTCCATTTCTTATTTTCGAGATGTGGAAGTAGGAGATTTTTCAGACTGTACATTCTGGTCAATGGACAATGTAAATGACAATGGTTATCTGTACAATGGACAAAAATAAGGAAGGCCTATGTCCAGCAGTGGACACAAAGGGCTGGGTAATGATGATATTGTGGTACGGTTCGTTATTAATAACAACAACAAGAGGTTACTTGTATGTAGGGTTCCCATAAATCTTGCTCTTTACTCCCAGAAATCAACAGAAGAATAAAAGTGGCTTGGATCTTTTAGTAAAAATGCAGTTATATTCTTGAAAGAAAGAAACTTGGGCATTAAAGATAGAGATATTAGCGAAACTTAAAGGTCAATGGAGCGATGCATGCTAGGTATAACAAAGAGGGATCTAAAAAGAATAGAATGGATCAGGCAGAAAAACAAGGACACTGATGTAATCCACAGAATTAAATCTTTAAAATGGCAGTGAGCAGGACATTTAGCGAAAATAACTGACACTAGATGGTCAAGAGACCAAGAAAACGTCCAGATTTAAGATGGGACTATGACATAAGGAAACAAACAACATGGCAGAGAAAAGCGAGTAGAAATAAAGAACGACTCTGTGAAGAAGACTACACCATAATCAATTACTATTAAACTGGGAATAAGCCACAATTAAAGATAAAAATACGTTTATTGACGTTTCAATTTCCACTTCGGAAATCGTTCTCAAAATACAAACAGTAAATTAAACAAATTTTGTTTTTTGTTAAATAGTGAAAAATTCTTCTAATAATTTAATTTTATTTGACTCACTTATATTGACAATTCAGACATATATTATGCATTTTAAAGTAGACGACTTTAAAATCATATTGCCAATATTGTTGAGTTGCGCTCCTGGGACGACTTTACTAGTTCATTCGATTACATGAAATCAACTTTAACTTGAGAATATCCGTCAGAAAAAAAATCATAGCATGTAATTCGTCTTTAAAAAGACAAACACATGACATAATGACAGTAAAATTCTCCTGTTAGTGATTCCATAGTAAATTATGAGGGAAAACCAGGAAAAAAACCTCATAATATATAAAATTTTATATATTATGAGGTTAATAACATATAAAATCAGAATTTTGATGTTTGTTGAAGGTAAACTAAATTCACGAACAAATACTTACAATGTCGGGATAGTATTATGAGGTTTTTTTTCCTGGTTTTCCCTCATAATTTACTATGGAATCACTAACAGGAGAATTTTACTGTCATCATGTCATGTGTTTGTCTTTTAAAGACGAATTACATGCTATGATTTTTTTCTGACGGATATTCTCAAGTTAAAGTTGATTTCATGTAATCGAATGAACTAGTAAAGTCGTCCCAGGAGCGCAACTCAACAATATTGGCAATATCATTTTAAAGTCGTCTACTTTAAAACGCATAATATATGTCTGAATTGTCAATATAAATGAGTCAAATAAAATTAAATTATTAGAAGAATTTTTCACTATGTAACAAAAAACAAAATTTGTTTAATTTACTGTTTGTATTTTGAGAACGATTTCCGAAGTGGAAATTGAAACGTCAATAAAGGTATTTTTATCTTTAATCGTGGCTTATTCCCAGTTTAATAGTAATTAATTTACAATGCCTCAAGAAAATAGCTTCAGAACAATATTAATACATCATAATCGGTAGAATGTTCTGAGAATGATGATGATGGTGATGGTAATGATGATAATATAATTTGTTGCGCAGTCCAATGGCATTCATACATGTATTTCGGCGATTTGTTTTCCTTATTTATTATACTCTATCCGAAATATTATCATTATTTTATTATGTTTTATATTATAATCTAGACATTTTCATATGTGCTTGTCATTTTCATTCAATTTACCGAAATTCATTTATTCGTTTGAAATTTTTGGGTTTTTTACTTTGAAAATAGTTTGTCAAATCCTCAGTTTTGAGGTATAATAAGAATCACGGAATGGACATAAATATAGATGAAAATGCTTTTCGGTAAACACATTGTTATTAATTTGTAATTACGGTAATACCATTGTTATTAATTTTATGTAAATTATTTGTATCTAAATTTATTCAAAATATCTACGACGTCGTTTATTATGTTGGTAAAAAATGTAATTTATGTAAAGGATTTTTGCTAGGTAAAGTACAGTAATACAAGACGAACCAATAAAGAAAACTTTGCAGATTAAATTAGGAAATACAACATTTAGGAAATATAGATAAAAGATAACAAAAAATAGTACATATTAAACCGACAGCAAAAAACACAATCCCAAGGAATAAAATTGGATGGTTTGGTAACGAATGTAGAGAAAATATTTTCTCCTCCCGTTTGGTGACATCTCTTACTATTTGGACTGCTTTGGTACTAAATTTTGCAAATGTGATTATTCCTTTTATTGTGCTTGGTATCCGCTCATTTATACTCTATTTGAATACGTTAATCATCAATTTCTATTTTACATCGCTGGTTCTTTACTGATTAATATGTTTTTATTTTCTTATAAGTTGAGATCGTCGTCTTAAGTTATTTTTCACTTGTGTCGAAAAGGATAGTCTTTGTAGACTATCTTTATCTTGGATTACTAATATTGCGTCATCTGCGTAACAGGGTATTTTGACTTTTGTGTTCCCCATTCTGCATTTTCTTCCTTTGACAAATCTTTCGATGACTTCAATGTAGATTATATTGAAAAGCATAGACTTCACTGTCTAGACGATTGTTGATCTTCCAGGCCTAAAGCCGCATTGGTAATCGCCAATAATTTCCTCTGTATATGGCAGTAATCGTTTTAGTACAACTGAAGCTAATATCTTATATGTAGTACCGATTAGTGAGATTCCCCTGTAGTTGCCACATGTATCCTTTCTGCCTTTTTTATGTATTGGGACGATAATACAGCCACTCCATTCTTTTGGCATTATTTCTTGTTCCCAGGCTTCTTTCATTAATTGGTGTATTTTAGTTCTAAGTTCATGCCCTCCTTTTTTAATCAGTTCTGCATCAATATTGTCTAGTCCCGGGAATTTGTCATTTTTTAGGGTTTCTATCGCCGTGATAATTTCTTCCTAAGTGCAATCCAAGTGGTTAAAAAACATCTAAGGAAAGACTTGTTTCCACCTCTTTTTTGTATTTATTCCTATTTTTATTATATTACAACTTTGCTTCAAAATAAATTGTTTTAAAGTTATAAGCAAACGAAGTAGAAAAATAGATATTTTTAGTAATCTTGAAATCTTTAAATTTTTTTAATAAATTTCCCGACCTATTTGAGAGAGAGGATAAGTCAAATATTATTTCTGAAATTATCACCTAACAATATCTGCAAAAATCCGAATGCCACCTCTTAATCCACATTAAAATGGATCCGCCCTGATCTAAACCTATTATCAATATATTCTTCTTATTTTAAATGTACGTAAAAATTTGAGTTTGATTATTTTCGTAATGAAGGTAGTGATCCTGCAGTGGAATCTTGTACTATTGGTATTTGAGTACCCTATATATTAATCACTAGCTAAGATTTTATGTCTACATAACGTAAATCAAACCATTTATTAAAAAATCATTACTAATTTTAAACTTTTTTTTGCAGTCTTGTAGCTGCAAAGGAAGAAGTTTTTAATAGAAAATTCCCAGATGACTTCGAATTTGGCGCAGCTACTTCAGCGTACCAAATTGAAGGTGCTTGGAATATAGACGGAAAAGGTGAAAGCATTTGGGATACTTACGTTCACAGAGTACCGTCCCCAATTAAAAATGGAGATACTGGAGATGTTGCATGTGATAGTTATTACAAATACAAAGAGGATGTCAGACTTGCTGCCGAACTTGGTATAAAACTGTACAGATTTTCGATATCTTGGCCAAGGTACCCTAATTTCTAATTTAATCATTACAAGAAATATATATATATATATATATATATATATATATATATATATATAAACCTAGAGCTAAGAGTAATACTATTACAAGATTTATAATTAACAGCTTTGGTTAGTGATCAGTGTAGTGGTGTCTGGGAACTCGGGAGACTGAGAACTCAGAAACCCTAAAGAAAACATCAAAGAGTATGTCAAAAGCTCGGTGCCATGATAATCGACGCAGTTCAACTCCTAGCTTTAGGTTTAATTTTTAACCGCGAGAATCTTTCGGAACATTTTTTTCCACTTTATGCCGATTATTATTGAATTGGAGTTTTACAATTTTTAGGGTACTACCTACTGGAAAATCTGACAATATCAGTGAAACGGGTCTCAATTACTATAAAGATCTAGTTAAAGAAATTCGTAAATACGGCATGCTTCCGGTTGCCACTATCTACCACTGGGACCTACCTCAGAGTCTATACGATCAAGGTATTCAATGGAGTAATGTTAGTTTGATACCCTATATTGTAGATTATGCTAGAGTTGTTATAAGAAACTTACCTGACGTTTCATATTGGATAACCATCAATGAGCCAAAACAAGTTTGCCGTGTAGGATACGGCAGTACTTATCTAGCGCCTGGTTTAAACAGCAGTGGTCTCTTAGAATACGATTGTGCATATGTACTTCTTAAATCTCATGCTGCTATGTATCGCATGTATAAAAAGGAGTTTCCCGATTATAAAGGTGAGTATAAAAAGAGTTTAATTATTATTCCAAAGATCATTTATAGTAAGGAAAACAAAATGCTGCATTTTGTCTCGATTTGCAGGATTTCTTTAATCGAAACCGGGATATTTATCTGGTGGCGGCGTATTTGTGAGATGTTTGAGGTCGGTAGAACTTCTACAGTATTCTTTCTATAAGTAAACATATAGTACGTTTTTTTTTGGTTATAAGCTTTTTTCTATAATTAAAATTAATGTTAACATATGCTGAGGTGTCGATTGCCTGATCTAAAAGTAGCTTATTCTTCTGTCTCCATTTAACTGTATTCCTTATTTAGATGCTGGTTTTAAATATTTTGCCATACATTCTACTAAGTATATTTTTGATAGCAACTTTCATGTAGCTGGGACAGTTAAGGTTCTCTACTATTTTTTCTGGATCTGTGATATTACTGTTCTATAGTGACTTCTTTCAAATTTTGTCTAAGCTGGATTCTAAGGCGGTAATTCTGTCATTTATACTTCATTATTTTGAAATATGTCGCTGTTTCCGTTATAGTTTTTTTTAAGTAGTTGTTTATGTTTATGGCGTTGTTAATAATTTTATGTCTCTGATTCCATTTGAATTTTTTTGTAAATTAGTTTTCTAACTTTGTTTAGTTGTTGAAATTGTTGATATTGAAAATTTTCTTCCTAGAGATGAAGAATGAATAACTGCAGTTTGTTTTATTGATGCATCAGATCACTACATTTAGCCAACTGATATTTGTCTGCACAAAAGTGATTGAACACAATACATCATGGTAAAGCTCTTCCATGAATCATCATCATCACCAACCTGTATGCGTGCACTGCTGGACACCCTCAGCTATTTCCATTCCATCTTGTACGGTTTGCATCCATTTACTGTTAATACGCTTCAGGTCGTCAGTCCATCTGGTTGATCGTCTCTCAAAGAACACCCAACATCTCGCTCTCTGTAGCCCTCTGAATCTTATTCACTATATTTTTTGTGAGTGTTATTGTTTCCGCTTCATAAGTGAGTACAGGTAACACATATTGGTAATCCTTTACCTAGGCAATATATAAGTATATCGCTTATAATGCTTGGTGGATCTAAAACCTCATCACTCGAAAAGTAGGCTAAACACACCACCAGTTTCTTCTCTCCTACTTCTGTAGTTATAGTTAAAATACCTGTAATAATATCATCGGTGAAAGCACCGGAATTAATGTCTACTCCATTACTGTGAATTATGCACGACCTTGGCCTTATACCTTAGCCTTTTACCGTAGGTACTCTTCCACAATCCCAGTGGTGGATAGACTTACTTCAGGGATGCGATCCTGCCTTACGCGAGCCTTGATTCTCTCTCAACTCCTGTGGAGAGAAATCATGCCCTAACCCCATTCATACCCAATACCTACTATCCTACCAATTTCCCAAACCAACTCACCAACCCGCCTGGCAAGCGTGGTGTTTAAATGCCAAAACCCCCTCAGCATGAACAAACATTCAAGAAAACGGCCCTCAGTCCCCGGCAGCTCGCTAGTTCCCGACCAAGGTAGCGGTAGGACTCACGGACAGCGGGTAGAGGGTGCGAAGAATCCCCGGGATGTAAGAGGCTACCAAGAACGACGAACGTTGCACATAATTACGTATAATGTAAGAACTTTATCTAAGGATGAAAAAATGACAGAACTGGAGGAAGAACTCAAACATGTGAAATGGGATATTATAGGAATTAGCGAAGTCAAAAGAAGAGGTGAAGATCAGGTCAAACTAAAATCAGGAAACATATTCCACTATAAAGGGGAAACGGAATTGACAACTGGAGGAATAGGTTTATTAGTACACAAAAAATTACAGAAAAATATACAGAGCATTGACTGCATTTCCCCAAGAGTTATGTATATAAATCTAAGACTAAATAAGAGATACACTCTGAAAATAATCCAGGTATACGCCCCCACCAGCGATTACGAAGATGAAATTGTCGAAGCCTTCTATGAGGAAATCGAAAGAGCAAAAAAGCAGGAACCGGCTCATTACAATCTGATAATGGGAGATTTTAACGGGAAACTCGGAAGGAAAAAAGACGAACAAGAAGTGGCAATCGGAGATTTTGGAATCGGAGTAAGAAACGAAAGAGGCGAAATGCTTACCAACTTTCTACTGCAACACAAACTGTATGCAATGAACACCTTTTTTAAGAAGAAACAGAATAGAAAATGGACGTGGGCTAGTCCAGACGGAAGAACTAAGAGCGAATATGATTATATAATAACAGACAAAAAGCAAATTATTCAAGATGTCACTGTACTCAATAAACTATCAGTAGGAAGCGACCACAGACCAGTAAGAGCTAGAGTAACGATCAATCTACAAAAAGAAAGAGCAAAGATGATAAACAGTTGTAAACGCATAGTTTGGAATTCACCAAATCATCCAGAAGCATACATAAGAAATATAGCCGAAACTTTACAGAGTAATAATCCCAAACCTCTAAGTATCGACGATCACAATAAATTAATAACAGACTCAGTTAGAAACGCACAACTCAAATTTTGCAAGAAAAATGACACCAAAAGTGAAAAGATTAGCAAAGATACAAGGGCTCTCATGGAAATACGACGAAACCTAAGCGAGAACGAAAAGGGAAACAGAGAAGAATATAAAAAACTAAATAAAAGAATTTCAGCGGAAATTAGAAAAGATGTAAGAAGATATAATACTAATGTAATTACTCAAACAGTAGAAGAGAACAAAGGTTTAAAGATAATGAAAAGAAAACTTACGCAAAGTAAAAAAGAAATATACAAGCTGAGAGATAAAGACGGAAAGGCAACAACAGATAAACAAAACATTCTGAAAATAACTAGAGAATTTTATAAAGACCTCTATACCAGCCAAAGACCACAAGACAATTTCCCGACACGAGTAAAGACTCTCATAAATCAGGGATCGGAAATACTTTTACCCATTACTGTGTCAGAAGTAAGAGCAGCTTTAAAGGAAATGAAGAACCATCGATCGCCTGGTGATGATGGACTCGTTATCGAGGCAATAAAAGCAGGTGGAGAAATTTTATTAAAATCAGTAAGCGAACTGTTTACTAAATGCTTACATGCGGGTACAATTCCAAAAGACTGGAACAATGCAGTAATAGTCTTGTTACACAAAAAAGGCGATATTACTAAATTAGAAAATTATAGACCCATCAGCCTCTTGACACATATGTACAAACTCTTTATGAAAATCTTAACAAAGAGGCTAACACCTAAACTTGATTTCTATCAGCCCAAAGAACAGGCAGGCTTCAGGGCAGGATATGGCACAAATGACCATTTGCATACCATAAAGATCTTAATAGAAAAGTGCATCGAGTACAACATACCACTGGTTCTTGCATTTGTCGATTACGAGAAGGCTTTTGATTCTGTAGAGTTTGAAACAATACTGGAAGCCCTAAATCAAAGCCGAATAGATTACAGGTACACGACACTAATCAAAAACATCTATCAGAACGCTACATCAAGTATACGACTGCACGAAGACACAGAAAAATTCAGCTTAGGACGAGGAGTTAGACAAGGAGACAATATTTCACCAAAATTGTTCACGGCAGCTCTAGAGTCAATATTTAAGGGTACTCAATGGCAAGATATGGGCATCAATATAGATGGAGAAAGATTAAATCACCTAAGGTTTGCAGATGATGTTGTATTAATCGCAGATAACTTACATGATACAGTTACTATGATGCATTCGCTTAAAAGTCTGTCTGAAAGAGCAGGATTAAAGATAAACTTTGAGAAAACTAAAATTATAACAAATCTCGTAATGAGTGGAAATATAACTATTGACAATAATACCATACAACAAACAGACACTTACAAATATCTGGGGACACGAAATCAAAATAAGCAGAGACAATCAAACACATGAAATACAGAGGCGAATAGGTCTAACATGGGCAGCATTTGGCAAATTAAGCCATATTCTAAAAAGTTCAATTCCCATGTGTCTCAAGCGAAAGGTTTATAACCAATGTGTTTTACCTGTACAAACTTATGGAGCAGAGACTTTAACACTCACGCAAAAATCTGCGAATAAACTTAGAGTTACACAACGAGCCATGGAACGTGCAATGCTGAACGTGAGCCTTCGAGACCACATAACAAACCAACAAATCAGACGAAGATCAGGAGTTCAAGACGTCATCGAAAGAACCACGACGCTTAAGTGGAACTGGGCAGGGCACTTAGCCAGAACACAAGATGGACGGTGGACAAGACGTATTATGGAATGGAGGCCCAGAAATTATAAAAGAAGCCGAGGACGACCACCGACTAGATGGACCGATGACATTAAACGTGTAGCGGGAAACTGGCTACAAGCGGCCCAGTGTAGAGAACACTGGAAAGAATTGAGGGAGGCCTATGTCCAGCAGTGGACGCGATTGGCTGATTGATGATGATGGCCTTATAGCTTTAGGTGTGTATAAAACCTTACCATGGTTTGGTTGATAAGTCAGCAATCTTTTCACCTATCTTTCCGGGCTTCTACAGGAGGGTAATATCAATGCCTTCTTGTTCTACTCTTCTAACCAGCGTTGCCGATGCGGTTTTTGCGTGTTGAGTATTGGTCATCGAGCAATAAGACAAAAGAGGGAATGTAAAGGTAGAAGGGGTAAACATATTGATAGACAGGAAGTGCCATCTTGAGAGGCCACTTTAGACAAGGATAGAGAGTCTCTCTCCTTGTTTGACATATGTTTGACATCAAATTTAGTTGGGTTATGTTATTGTTTGTCCCAAATGTCACATGAAATCTTATTTATATTGAAGTTTTTTAACAATTGTGTCGCATTTTAGACTCTTATCATTAATAATTAATTAAAACTTTCTCGTCTAAGACACATTTTGAAAAATATTATATAGCTACTGTTGATAAGTGTCGAAAAATTTAAATTTGGCGCCTTTGCATTTCCGGATGTGTCCGCCATCAGAGGCCACTTTTTTGGTCTCCTTTTTATAACGATTAGATTCCCTCTTTTGTCTTATTGCTCGATGGTATTGGTCTGCAGGAGCCTTATTTCTCTCTTTGCTACAAAGAGTTTTACGCTTCTAATTTTGTAACGCACACTTGGAAAGCAGTCCTTATGAGTGGACTGGTTCCGTCTGAAGAGGCTTGTTTCTTTTTCTGAACCTTCATATATTAAGAAGTTTTCCCTGTTTTACTGGAGTGAGTTGCTACTGGCTTTTTCTTCAGTATTTTTATCTTCCCTTCTTTGTATCACAAATTTAACTCCGAAAAAGTGTGACATATTGAGTTTATGGAGCTCTTCTCCAGATTTATAATTCATTGGAAAGGTCCACAAAACCCCTTTGTCTGAAGGTTTGTTTCCCCAGACTGTCCATAGATGTGTGCTAAGCCCATGATTACTTATCCTTAGTCTATTAATGATCCTTTTTGGACTCAAGACGTTCTCGATCTTCATCCTGCACAAAGACAGTGCTTGAGTGTGTCTGTGTGGCATGGGGATCCCTTCCCCTTCTAAAAGCCTTGAGAGATACATTCTCCCAAGGCCACAGAGTTGTAATCACTCCCTTTAGCCACACCTAGTACTTGTTTTGTCCGCACAGTTAAGTTCTAGGAAACTCGGCCTGTGGCTACTCTTCAGGAAGCGAACCTGAGGTTCTGCTCCCGGAATTTCTTCATAAGCCACCATAATGTCCATTGGACTATCTTAAGCTTGCTCAAATCCATCTTGGCTTCTAGGAATCCTGTTAGTACTGCCGCAACTTTTATAGAAGCTGTAGCTTCGCTAAACGTCACATCCTCGGTTCTTGGCCTTTTCTCTTTGAGTTGGCTTTCGGATGGTGTGCTTACGCCTGACCTTGACCTTTTTAACCTTTAGCCTGATGGCATTTGTAGCCTTAATCTCTTCGTCAATCATGAGATCAACGTTTTCAACACTGTTAATTTGACAGACTTAGTAGTTCCCTGCCTTTTAGTATGGGAGATTTCTTTAGAACTTACTAACCTTTCGGTGTTTGCATTTTCTTTAGAAGTTCCCTGCACTTATGATTTAAAAATCTTAGTTTTGGCTTCAGAGTTCCCTGACCTTCCAGCTTTGGAAGACCTTTGGATCTAAGTTTTTTCATTTTGTTTCGCTTGTCCATATTGATCTCACAAGTAGCTAGGGAATGACAGCCCAACTCTCGCAGAACCCCGCTTGCGAGGGTGAGGTCTAAATACGATGGGGTACAACCTGTTGTTACAAAGAAACCGTTTGCGACACTATTACCCTAGTGCCTTACAGTCTTCACTACGGCGTCTTATGGCTTGGCTTGTGGAATGTTTATCGACTCTCCCAGTCTAGATTTGCTGGATTTAGTTTCAACAGGGCCACTTCATGAAGGGTGCAATCAATCATTACACTCCCCCAAATATTGTTAGTATTAAAAGTACCCAGTGGTCTTGGGATGAACTTAAGAAGTACAGAGAAATAGAATTCTACATGCTAAAATCCCTCGTAAAAGGTACAACTATAAAGTATTATTTAATCCAGGTGACTCGCGAATTCTATTGCCATTATTTTTGATTGCTAAGATAACATATTCTGAACTTGTGTTCTGCAAAACCTTGTTGAAACAAAGATTTATTTTTTTTATCGACTACATTTCAATTTTAGTATTAAAAATTATCAATTCAATTTTTTAGCTCCAATGTCCATAGTCATAGATTGTCAATGGATAGAGGCTCTAACAAATTCACCTAAGGATAGAGAAGCTGCTGAACGACAAAGGCAATTTGAAGTAAGAATAAATTTAACAATGTTATGTAAATAATCATAATTTACCGATTCAGTATGTGGCAGAATAATATTGTACTATTCCTATAAAATAATTTTCCGCAAATCGCCAGGAAATTTTGACATTCCTGTCAAAATTTCTTGAAGAAAAAGTCAGGACTTCCTTACTGTAAGGAAATGTCATTTCCTTACTGTAAGGAAATGATATTTCCGTACAGTTGTTAGTGTTCTACATAAATGATAGAAAACACATGCTTATAAGGAATTAATTCATATTTTGAAAACATCAAGTCAGTGCTGAATACATTTTTAAGATCAATTTGTTATAGTTACAGTAATTTGACAGTTAGTACAATTATTGAACATTGGAGGAACACTCTTAGAACTATGAGAAACATTTTGGACAACATGCAGGGTGGAAATGTCATTTTGTTGAATATTTTGTACTGTGAAAATTTTATTTGCCACCTCAACCTTATTGTTAAGCGATTCTTCGATATATCCTTCAGCAACGTTTGATGACTTCCATGCCTCTTTAAACTTGTTATGTCGGCACCAGAGTCAACCAATATTGTTGCAGAAGACCGACGAAAGCAGTGACCAGTATATTCTGTCGGATTTACCAACTTCAAATAAGTAGCAATTATTTTGGGCATTTTTCTAAATTGATGAATTCCTACCACTTGTCTACAACCCTTTCCGCTTTGATATTTAAAGAAAAATCGGTCACTGTTCATATTTTCTGGTCTTAACGAAACATACTTTCGATAAACATTCAAGTAGATCTGATTAATTACAAATGATCTTAGTTTGTTGGTTTTCGAATCAGGTATGCTGATTAAAAGCTTAGATTCTAAGTCTTCTATATCGTGTACAGTCATTCGGACTAACTCATCCATTCTACAGGCCCCAGAAATACCAAATATTACAGCCACCTAAAAAATAAATAAAGCTATAATCTAAATAGAAATTAAAACCTTGTAAATTACCTTAATCATTAAATTTTCTTTATCTGGAGCTTCCTGGATAAATTTTTCAATTTCTTCCTTCGTTAAAATCTTAGATTTCTTTGCCCTATAACCTTGAGCTTGCCGTTTCAATAAAGAACGAAGTTTTGAGTATGTAGATATATCCACATTGTGTTTAAGTGCAAGGGTTGACTTCAGCATTGAATAATTGGCCCATAATGTTGAAGATTTCATCTTTAAACAAAGGTCTAGGAAGTATGCCATTATAACATTTTCTGAGAAAGAACTCGTATTTTTACTCATGCGATAATCCATAAAACGTCTGTATGCATTTTCGTACTTTTCTCTTGATTTCTTTGGCAATAATTCTAATAAAGCAGTATTCACTGCCTCAACCAGCTCTGGAGGAGTCCCAGGAATGGAAATTTCATCATCACTTATCATTTTACTTTCGAGAACACCAGCAATTAAATTTATAAGCGTCAAGTTTGACAATTCAACCTCAATACGTTTCCATAGTAACCCAAGTAATTTTATTAGGAATTTCAAAGCACCATTTATTTGGGAATAAAATTATCGCGTTTTTTTTAATCAATCAATATCTGTCGAATTTTAAACGATTTGCGGAAAAATAGTATGTTTACCTCGTAGGAAAAGCCACATTCCTGGACTCTGTGTTGCTAAGTCTCGGCTTGCGCCTCGACTTCGCAATCTTCACAGTCGTCCAGGAATGTTAAGCTTTTCCTACCCGGTAAACAATGTACTATTTCTATTCTCTTGTACAAACACAGTTTAATTAAATATTGCATCATTTTCATAATCGTTTGATCACATTGAAAATCATCGAGCTTTTGCAACCTTTATTTACAACCTCCACTTCACAGTTCCATTAATTAGTCCATGTTGTAAGACCGCTCCCATAAGAAAAATATTTCTGATTCGGTTTCTTTACAGATTCTTGTTCAAAAATATCCCCTTTAAACAAACTTGAAGGGTTTGGAGTTTGGAGACGATTTAAAATCTGAAAAATGCGATAACTTTAACGAATTATAACTTTTTACACCTTTTCTCTATATGCCATCTATTCCATTCTAAAAAAATTGGAGCTTGGACAGGTGGTATTTTACGAGTACCACTGATTTAACGGGCTATATATGTTTACTCCTTCTCGGTACATGTCATCTATAAAATGGATCATAAAGTCTAAATTTTCACTTATAATCTATCCAATTTTCAACTCTTAATGTTAATTAACAATGGAAAGAAAGATTTTAAGAAAAAAATTCTATTTTGATTTCTATTGGTGATAAAAGGTTCTTTTTTATAAGATTGTGTTTTTACACCATCTTTTCAGTAGACCTACTTACAAATGCGATACATAAAAAATATCACAGTTACTATTACTATAGATGTTTATAAGCTAAAAAGCCAGCCCTCTTTCAAACGGGCATTTATTAACAATTTTGATAAAATGTCGTTTTAATAAATCTTTAAATTAAAGCCTAGAAGAATCTATTGCACCACCTAAATACATATAAAAACACTGTTTGGGCAAGTACAGTTGTTTAAATAATTGCTCTTCGGGATAAACAAATTGAATATCTTACAAACTATTTGGTCAATCTATCTGAGATTTAGTGCACTTCCATAACTCATTAATTACCACAATTTCAAATAGTTATATAATATGTCATGCAAAAAACAAAGTTATTAATATTAATAAATTATTGTAAAATAATTATTTTTGCAATTATCTCGGACAATTGGTTTAATTATGAACCTCGCAAATTAAAGAACTTTTTAAGTCCTACAACTTTTATTTGAATAATTTTTCTCTACAATTTGTAAGAAACGTTTTATAATAAATGATGTTTTCACTTTTGATAATTGTTTAAGAATCAAAGCGTAATCAGCTGTACGTCTTTAAAGATTTATTATCAGCTATCCACCATATACCTTTCAGAACCTTTAGAAACCTTTGTAATTCATGTTCAATAATATATAGTAATGTACAATAATATGGATATCGTTTACAAAACACTTGTCTAATTACTGTCCATTTAAGAACGTCGCAGCTGTTTTTAACATATGTTGTAGAGATAGCCAGTGAAGGTACGAATGCCGAATCAGCACTTTAACATGAGATTCCAAAAAAATATCGCGACAAAAAACATTAATCTATATTCTTCAACTGACTATTTACTTGCAGATTTATAATTTTATGCTGCTACTATATTTATGCTACTATTGTATCCATACAATTTAAATTTTATAGTTTCATTTAATCATTAAAAAGCATCTCCGATTTTTCTTTCAATTAAGTATTAAATCATTGTATATTTTAGTGTGGCTTGTACTTCAATCCCGTCTTCAATGGTGACTGGCCACAAGTAGTAAAAGACAGAATAGCTTATAGAAGCGAGAAAGCTAACTTAACGAAATCCAGACTTCCATCTTTCACTGCAGAAGAAATAGAAGAAATAAAAGGAACACATGATTTTCTGGGATTAAATCATTATTATACGATGTTAGCTAGGGAGGAAGCAGAAGAAGCACCATTTAATGAAACTAGTTGGGAAAATGACGTTGGAACTGTTGACTCATTCGATCCAAACTGGGTTGTAGAATCAAATGGATTATTTGTGGTATGTAATATAAAATATTTTCTTTTTTATGTAGCTATCGTTACAACAATAATATTTTAATCGAACCTAATTTTGAATTGACGAAGTTTTGTCATATTTATCCAATATTACAGTTTATTTGTTTATAAATGAATTGCCTATTTATAAAAACCACTTCACTATATTTCTATCAAGAGGTTTCTAAAAATTTGGATTCTAGAAATTTTGGATTCAGAATAACCGGAATATATTGACTAGAGCTGGAAAACCCCCGGAGAAATCCAGGCAAGTTGAAAGGCTCCTTAGTAGCATACCCACCATCCCACTTTTCAAACTACAGATTGATAATATGTACTGAAGACTTTTACAAAGAGATGCCGAAACGAAATTTCTTAGAAATGTGAAGGAACGTTTATCTTAAGACCTGATAGAGAGAAAAATGAATAGGTATTTAAAATAAGAAGTAAAATCTACTCCAATTAATGACAAAATACCAAACAAAATGAAAAAAGGTATGAAAAAGGACAAAAGGAATGAAAATCGATTAACTAAATAAATTAAAAATTATAAACCGAAAAGAAGAAATCATCAAAGTAGAAATGCAAAAAATTTCTATTGACGAAACCAAAATTTATATTTTTGCTTTAATATGTGCCTTTTATAAATTGCAAGACAAAACAGAGGATGCTAAAAGATGTAAGAGAGATATGGCGAATCTAAAATTTGCATTCCACAACATATCTCCTCATTCAAGTAAAATCCTTGGCGAATTGGTTTCTAGCATTATGTACTGCAGTATGAGCCTTTTCCTTGCAATTTGTAAAAGGCACACATAAAACAAAAATCTGAATTTTGGTTTTGTTAACCAAGAAATCTTTGCATTTCTACTTTAATGATTTATTCTCAGATGTCGCTATAGCGTCCATATTGAAACCATTTTATTCTTGCTTCTTTTCCATGGAAAACATTTGTTTTTACGTTCAGAGCTTCGGTAACAGTCGCTCTAATTAATCCTGGTAGGATGAAATACGTATAAGCGAATATACAGATGCGCTATACGTGAAATCAAATATTGACACTGTCTTTTTCTCTTACAAAAAAAAGAATTTTGATGTCGAAACAGACAACAGATCACTAAAGCCTGGAATGAAGAAGACTTAAATTTTGATTATAAGTTTAATGACTGTATTTTAAAAGGTTTTAAAAAATGTAGACGTGAGCTTTTACATCATTAAGCATGCATGATTTTAAATTATTTTGGAAAAAATTATTTCTTGTACGAAAAATGAGGTAAACTAGTGGACGGAATAAAGACTTACAATTGACTAAATCTAAAAATATGTGGTCTCAGTGTATCTTTAACAGTTTTAAGCCTTACACACATTACCTTTTAAAAGAGTTTATGAACTGAAGTCAATTATGTGATGCAGTAGTGTCGAGCCACAGCTACTGATATGAAGGAACAAAAATATAAACATATAGACTACAAGCTCATGGGACATATTTGACCTAGTATGAATTACATATAAATTAATACTACAATATATAATAACAACTTTAGAAACTATGCCGCAAATGATTATCGGTACAAAAAGCAGCGGGGTTCAAATTAGGAGTTACTGATATTACTGATATGAAGGAACAAAAATATAAACATATAGACTACAAACACATGGGACATATTTGACCCAGTATGAATTACATATAAATTAATACTACAATATGTAATAACAACTTAAGAAACTATGCCGCAAATGATTATCGGTACAGAAAGCAGAGGGTTCAAATTAAGAGTTACGCCTTAGGTTTCACACCCCTGTACCAGCCAAAATTTACGGCGGTGCAATAAAATTAATCTATGAATGTCGTTCTGTGCAAATTACCGCAAATGGGAAAAAAGTTTTGCGAAAATAAAAAACTATTTCCCATTATTTTCTTGATTGCTTTTAAACGTACTATTTACTTTATTCTTGTTTTAGATCGTTCCTAGTGGTGTTTTAAAAGTTTTAAGATGGATTAAAAAGTCATATGGAAACCAAAAAATTATAATAACTGAAATAGGAATGAGCGATAATGGTACTTACCTCAATGATCAAGATAGAATCGATTTTTACACAGTGAGTAAATGATTTAATGCAATCTGTGGAAGGAAACAAAATAACTTTTATATTAATAATTTATGAGAGTTCGCTACGACTGTCATTGCCTTTATGACCTTTTCCATGTTCTATCATTATCTGTTATGATTGCCTCCTCCAAGGTTCTTGCTGTCATTGATTCTTTGATATCATTACGTCAACGTTGTGTTCTTACTTTCTTTTCTAAGAACAAAATCGATCTCACTATACTCCAAGACCATCATCTCTTATCCTTTATGGTATCACACTAAATTTGTGACATGCTTTTATTATGTATAATTAATTATACACAGGCATAAGCAGTTGAAAGTCGATTTCAAACGACTAAGTGTAAACTAAATTATTATTAGATTAATTAATAGATTAATTTTTATGTCATTTCGTATTTGTTCTTTTTCCAGTCTTCTTTCTAGAGAAGTGGGGTTAGTTTTTGTGTTAAATCATTTTTTATATTTATTTCTTTCTGTATTGTATTTTCAACATTGTCCTCAATTAAAACGACATTTTTCTTGAAAATATCTTTTCTAGATTAATCGTAACCTATCCAATTGGTTAATTGTATACTAATACATAATATATACCGGGTGGTGAATCGTCAAACGGGCCATAGAAAACTCAATGGGAAATTTTAAATTGTTGAATTGCTGCTTCCCTAATTATTTTAGATCAAAAGTCATAAAAAACTATTTGTAGAGGACTAAAATCTGAATTAAAAGCAAATATTAAAACCGTTCTACGAATCGAATGTACTTCATAATTTTGCAAAAATATAATACATTTTTCAGGCCACCCCTAAAAGTTAGGCCACACATAATGCAAGAATATATATTAGGACGTCTGTGTTTTATCATATTAATGTCAGATGTTTGACAATTTGAATTGTATTTTTTTTTATTTTATGATTAAATTATAAACAATGAATTTTACTAAATACTACTACTCACGATATACAAACACAAGTACTAATGAACATTATTACTTTGTGAACAATAAATTATATTGTTTACAAATCGATCAATATAATGAAATGTACTCAGTTGACGAAAAATCGCATAATGTAGTATACAGGCACAGCCACCTAAAGGTGGCTGTGATACAGGCAATAGCGCGAACCTTTTTCTGCCACTACCGGATCTTTATTTAACGTAAGATATTCTAATTCACTAAAATTTAATTCCATGTTAAGTTAAGTTATACAACAATTTAATGAATTCCAATATACTGTTACTGTGATCTTTATTCCTAATAATAATATATGATAATTTCTAAACATAAAACCATAACAAATGTTATAATAAAACATGAATAAAACATTTTTATTATTGCTTTTTTCTCCTCAACTGAGTACATTTTTTAATCAACTTAATTTTTTTTAACAATAAATCACAAAATTTTGGCCATTTAAATCATAGATAAATGTAATATAATTGATTTAAATATTGTCAAATACCAGAAACAATAATATGACAAAACGCAACACATAATACCTACACATTTTTTCACAGAAAAATGTATTAAATTTTAGCAAAATTTTGGAATACGTTTAAGTCGTAGAATAATTTTAACAGTTGTTTTCGATACATATTTGAGTCCTCTACAAATAGTTTCCCATGACTTTTGGTGTAAAATAATTAGGGAAGCAGGAATTCAACAATTTAGAATTTCCCATTGAGTTTCCTTGCCTGACGATTCACCACCTGTATATATATATATATATATATATATATATATATATATATATATTATATATATAAATATATTATATATATATATATATATATATATATATATTTATATATTATATATATTTATATATATATATATATATATATATATATATATATATATATATATCTTCTTCTTCAAGTTCCACTCCTATCGGAGATTGGAAATCATTCTGGTAATTATAATTTTATTGGTCACTCGCCTGAATAGTTCAATTGAACTGCATCCAAACCACTCACGGAGATTGCGTAGCCACGAGATTTTACGTCTTCCTACGCTTCTTCTACCTTTGATTTTACCCTGCATTATATTCCTTAGTAGTTCGTACTTTTCACCTCTCATGATGTGCCCCAAGTATTCCAATTTCCTGATCTTTATGAAATTTAAAACTTCGATATATATATATATATATATATATATATATATATATATATATATATATATATATAATATATATATATATATATATAAATATATATATATATATATATATAAATATATATATACATATATATTTATATATATATATAAATATATATATACATATATATATATATATATATATATATATATATATATATATATATATATATATATATATAGGTATATATCGCGAAAATTTATCCCAAAATTTTATTCGCCTCTACGGGAGGATTTTCATTCTTACTAATTTTTTTCCAATCTTCTAATACGCAAATAGCAAATACCGTATTCTCTGTGATCTTGCTTTTCTTAAATCATGTCGTGACCATCAAGTCATTTCGCAATCTTGTCAAATTGAACATCACATTAAATCTTCATCAATTTCCAAAATTCTTAAAGCAACTGGTTTTTCGTTTCTTAGAAATTCCAATTCATTCCACCCGACGCAAGTTAGATACAAAAAAATCCCAACTTTTCAAAACCTACAATGACATCCACTCTTTCAATATCCATCCTTTATTATGGAGCACTTTCGATCGTCTTTCTCACCAAAAAGCCCAACACATTTCTAACAACAAAACCCAAACCCAGAAACGCAAACTGGACCAACTTATCTCTCAGCAAAATCCACAGCCCATTTCAAATCAACAACCCTATAATGTTGTTCGCAATTTCTTAGATATTCACATATACGATTCAGCTACCAAAGCTCTGTCAAAAGGCTTTAATTTTTCTGTCACTCCTCTTTCCACCCCAACTGAGAAAATTATTTGTCAAACCGAAGAAGCTATTTCTTATCTTCCTTCCGACCAAGCCGAAGTTGCCAAAATGCCGCAACAACATCCTTACATTCTCCTTACTTCCAAAGCCTCACCAGTCTTTCAGAAAGACGTGTCATCAAAGAACTTTATAACAACCCTGACATTGTCATCCTTCCGACCGATAAAGGTAATGCTGCCGTCATTCTCAACTCTTCTAATTATTTCGACAAAATGTTCGAACTTCTCAATTCCACAGAATACAAACGCGTCCCAAACGATCCCACTACATATCTAGAAAAAACGACCAAATCGATTATAAATCAGTATACTCTACCTCCAGACATCAAAAACCCACTCATACAAACCGTTATGTCAATGCCGCCAGTCACATTATCGTCCCGCCCAACTCAATTCAGTTATCAACACTCTTATTTCCCGTTTCATAAGACTTAACGACAACAATCACAGGTCATCCGAAATCAATTCAATAAGGCAAACAATCTTACAAAAAGGCTACCACAAAACCCAAATTACTAGAAACATTCAAAGGCATCTAAACCCCATTCCATCCAAAAAAGAAACCTGGCAACCGGATCAACCCAAAATCTTTCTACCTTTTTTTAAAGCTGTCACTGACAAAATCAATAGCACTCTTATCCCTCTAAACATCAAAACCATCTTCACTACGCATTCCAAGTTGCCAATTTCGTCAGATCCGTAAAAGACCAAATCCCCAGTGAAGGCCATGGTGTCTACTAGATACCTTGTTCCAGTTACCCACGTACATACATAGGACAGACAAACCGACGAATCCGTAACTGTATTTGCGAACATTTTCTATCGGTCAAACATTCGATAATACTTCAGCCATAGCCCAAAATCATATTCAGACAGGCCACAAAATAGATTTCGAAAAAGCAAAAACCATCGCTCCTATCTGCTCCTAAAAACAGCTTAAACAACTTGGTGACTGCTGCTTCAGCGACCCCCGCTCTAACCCACACCGCTCAAGCTACGTCAGCCAGACCACGTCAGCGCATACTGTTTCCGAGCATACTGATAGTATAAACGCAGTCACACAGGGTAAGACTGCTGGCCACTCGACACTGAGGAGTAGACAGATTGAGACCTCAATGCCGTTTGACGGTTCTTGTATTTATACAGAACACGATACTGGTACGTCACGAGAGAGGGGAGAACCATATCCCTCTTGAAAATGGCTCCAAAATGGGTCCTCATGTGGGTCATTAAGACCTATATGGGACAGATACAGAAGTCGCCCTTCTACTCTTTTCCTTTATATCTTTATTTACAAACTCAGAAGAATTACTCATTTCTGGGCCATCTCTTTCTGTCACCTTATCCAGTTAGGTACTTAAACTGCTGAAGTACTTAACTAACTCATCAGTTCTCTTGAGCGTGCATTATACACATCCCGGAACACATCCCGGAATTGAGGATCGTATTAGCTATAGCAGAAATTTTCACCGCATTATGAGTCAGTTAATACTGTGTGTGAATCAATGTATTTAGCGAAAATCGTTCTCGAATACAAAACATTATTTTTAAAGTAAAATTGTGACTTTTTTCCAATAAAAATAATAAATTACTTATGAACTGCATATTTTACTCTGCACATTTCTAGTGATTAAATTTATCATCATAATTCTGGCTTTACAACCCCATGTGGGTCGTGATCTCCCTGAAAATCTTTCTCCATTCTTCCCTATTCATCACCTGATCTGCGACAAGTGTATATTTTCATGATTTCTATGTCTTCTTTAACATTATCAATGTTGTTCCGTGCCCTCTTCTTCTTCTCTGCCCAATGGATCTATTAACAATCTTTTTTTTAGTGGATAATTTTGCTCCATCAGCATTGTATGTTCCACCAATCTCAAATGTGTTGATTCCTAAATGTTCTGCATCGTTCAAGTTTTATTGTCTTTTCCATACATCATGTCGATCACGGTCCATAAAGTCCAAGTTTCTTAACCGTATATTAGACTGGAGTTTGTAGAGTTTGTGGAGGTTATAGAGTTTCCCCTTTGTATTTCTTAGTAATTTAATTATGTCAAACGTTTCGAAAACCTTGCCATAGTCTACAAATGCTAAATGTACAAAGTTAGTGTTTATGTTATTTTTAGGAATATTTCTGCAACATCCTTGAGGCCATGGATGAAGGAGTTGACGTTAGAGTAATCACATACTGGAGTTTAATGGATAATTTTGAATGGACCAGTGGTTACAGGTAATGAACCTTATTATTAACTATTT